AAGAAAGAAAGAAAGAAAGAAAGAAAGAAAGAGAGAGAGAGAAAGAAAGAAAGAAAGAAAGAAAAACTTGCAAATGAGCAGAGCTACAACCTAATAACGGGTGTACTATAGCTTTTCTTCAGAAACAGTTTTTCTCTTTACAGTCACTCCCATTTCTACCAAAATAATCAAAGTAAGACAAGTGTGTTTACAAAATCATGTTAGTCTCATCAAACTTGGCCTGATTATTTATATAAGAGCAGCAAGAATAGTGATTGACCACACAGACTCTTTTTAAGTTTGTTTTGCTGGAAATTTTTTCTCTTTTTCTATAGCATTAACTGCTGCCAAGCTTTGCTGGAACTTTTGATAAGAACTCTAAGAATGAACTTTTAAAAACTTCTTTAGGCTAGGAAGCTAAATCAAGACATACTTTAGACTTAGCCTGCAGTACCTATAGATTCATTCTGTATATCTTCTCATATATGACATCCCAGTCACAGCTTCAGTGATATAAACAGAATCTGCCTAAAGATAGATCCTCCAAAAGAACTCAATTGTCATCCATCCTCTCCCCTCAGAGTTCCAACCGGGAGAATTTTATTTAACAAGAGGGAGAAGGAAAAATGGAAAGAGAAAAGCACATTCACTGCCATGAGAAACCTATTGCCTTCATCCTGCCATGGTCTTCCTCAGTTCTGCAGTCACCAGGTAAGAATACAGGCATATTTTTACTACTATATAACTTTGTGGCATATTAACTCAACAAAAGTACATTTTAAATTACCAATTTATTTTTATTTTTATTTTTGAGATGGAGTCTTGCTCTGTCACCCAGGCTGGAGTGCAGTGGCATGATCTCAGTTTACCACAACCTCCACCTCCTGGGTTCAAGTGATTCTCCGGCCTTGGCCTCCCAAAGTGCTAGGATTACAGGCATGAGCCACCACGGCTGGCTGAGGGTTCTGATTTCTCCACATCATCACTAATGCTTGCTATTTTTCATTTCCCCCCATATAACACAAGTCCACTTATGTATATTTTCCATTTTTATTATAGTTGTCCTAATAGATGTAAAGTGGTACCTCACTATGGTTTCTCATTTGCATTTATCAGATGATTAATGGTGCTGAGCATTGGAATCTGTTCACTTTCTTGATGATGTACTTTGAAGGACTAAAGTTTTAGTTTTAATAAAGTCAATTTACCCATTTTTTCTTTTCTTTTTTTTTTTTTTTTTTT